TTTAGAATTCTGATTTTAGCTTTTAGTCAAACTATTACTTTTCCAATCTGCCTTTAACATTTTTGTCATTTTTATTTGATTAGCGGTGGCCAGTTTGGTAGGCTTCGGGTTTGGGATTCCAAATCTCAAAGATGCATAGTTGAAATCCGTGGTCCTCTTGATCGATGTGTCTCTTCTGATGCCTTGGGTGTCTCTGTGAACGAGTTGCACACGCCAGACTATGGTCTTCATTCTATCATGCAACTTCACATTGATTCTACTTTTTCATGCAAAGACGATAAGGTTGGCCAACTGATTTTGGTGCGTCAGAGCAATCATGTTGAATTCTACAACTTATGGGACATGAAATTGGATAGTGAGGTATGTAATTTTTATATATTACGATTTTTGAGAAGAAAATTTTGGCTCTTGAGAAATTTCTTGGACTCTAAGTGCTCGGCTCACTTCCATTCCGAAAAAAAGTATGGGATGAAAGGATTTAAAGTCAGGTTCCACTAGAAGAGGACAGATTTCCCTTTACCAGTTGTCGATTGGCTTTACTGGAACCTTCTTCTTGACTCTATCATCTATTCCGATTGAAACATTCTAAGTTTTTATGAGATGTATTCATCCTATTTTTGGTTAAGCTGATAAAAGACTGGTAGTTGAATTTTCAACATCTATTTTCGCACAGCCTTGCTTCCCATAAGGTATTATTATTTAGGACGAGACCCGGGTAGTGCAACTTATTGTCTCGGAACTTTAACCACTACGCCACACTGCCACGAGTGCCCTTGGGTGACAGATGAGAAGTGAATTTCAAGGAAGGCGAGGCCTTTTCCCATATCAGATTCTGTGGTTAGTATTGTCGGTGAGGCAAAATTATATTTGCTATAGCAATGGATTACCTAACTTGTTCTTCGTTCGTATGTGGGTTTTAGAAGTAAACTTTTTTCCGTCATATGACGGACATAATCAGAATAGTGTCGTTCATAAAAACACACTCAGATTAACGAGTTTTCTTGATTGCTAATGCTGCGTTCTGATAATGCTTACTATATAAAACACGAACGATTAGCACGTTTTTACTGGAATAAAAGTAGATGACCTATGAGACAACTTCACCAAACATTTTCAAGCAAATACAATTAACAACTGGTCAAGAGAAATCCACCATCTTCGAGCCTCTTCAGCATACGCTTGCACTCTAAATGGAAGTAAGCTAAACATTGTGATTCATTCTTATACAACTGATTTTGTACCGATAAATCAATGTAGTTTAAGTTAAACTTTTAATAAGTTTCTACATACAACTAGCTGTTCATGGGGAACTGAGAACTCATGAAACCTAATTTTGTTCCAGTTGATATGCTTAACTAGCTACGTAACTAATGTTGGCTTGGTGCATTTCATTCATTGTCTTTTATATTAATGTTCTGTGAATGAAGTCTGCTTGTATGGCCCTGCTCTGATTCGCATACATATTCCAAATTCAGATTTATGCTAACCACTTACCACCGTTCAAACTCTTTCAGTGTACAATTTTCTTAATTTATTTTCTTACACAATCATACTTGAACCGTAGCGCCTTCGTAACATGCATATATTTGTATTCTCCACTGTTTTGACCCCTAAGTTCCTAGGTGATATTGGCCAGGTGCAGCAACTTTGTGTTGCAGGTCGTTCCCATTCTAGACTGGTACTAGCAGATTCTTCTGATCGATTGAAGATCTTTCTACGGCCACCGGGCCTGACTAAGTCTGCGAATGCTGGGTGGGCTTGTCATCTAGTTCCAGATGGCCATTCTGCCCCCATACTTGACCTAGCCGTTTCTACATGCGGTGAATGGCTAGCTACAGGGGCTCGGGATAACGCAATCTGCCTTTGGAGGATTGTAGAAACGACTGATGAGGCTGCCATAGACGAAAAGCCATCAGACGTATGCCGAGACACAGTGAAAGTGATTCTGATTGCTCATCAGCTGTCTGCACATGCTGCGCACGTCACTGCTGTTTGCTTTGATAGGTAAGTGCATATAATATCTTTATTCTTTTTCTTGTTTCTATGTTATACTTTTACCTAGAAAGAGGTAAAATAATTTAAATTTCACTCAACTTTCATTTTAAAGACAAAGTTGGTTGAAAGGGATTAATCATATACCTTATGTGAAATTTGAACTAGGATAGCTTTGGAGTGGACATGTTCTTGCCTCGCCACCCAGTGACCCCGATTAATCTGTACTAAGCTCTCGTTCGTCATTTAACATATGTTTAAGCCAGAAACCATCACTTACCTGATTTTTATTTCTGTTTTTGACTTTGCTTTGTATCGCAAACTCCCGATTTCACTTCAGTTAACCTTTGCTTGTATTCACGTAAATTCTAGAATTATGGGCAAACATAAATATTTGGTGGGTGCCCCCCTTGCTATTAAATAAGTTGCTATAAAGGATAAGCAAGAGCCCTCTGTATATAAACTATTTATTCGTAGATATAAAGATTAAGATTTTATGGCCTCTAATTTGGTCGCAGTTTCTTTTTAATGTATGGAAGTAGTTTGATATCGTTTTCGCAACTTGATCGTGTTGTCTTAGAGGCCTAGTTGGACACACCTTATCCGGTGTCATAATTCCCCGTGTTGGACCGCTATTAAGTCTTGCCATTCTCTGCGTTAAGCCACTAGTTAAGTAAATGCTACTCTTTCCGTCCTGGCACATCTACCTCTGATCTCACTTTCGCCCTATCACAGCTTCTGACTTGCTTCTCTATAAGTGTACTGATCCCTCATAGGCACGTAGATACGTTTCGTGTCTTTCCGGTTGACTGATTTCACTCGGCTCCAGTCTCAATATACGTTTTACTCTAGGTGCTACTTAAGATATGAAGACCGAGATGGTATTGCCATTTGTATGGTTGCAGTCTCCTTTCAATGTATAGAAGTGGGTTGAATTTCAGAAAGTTTGGTCAAGCGATTGATTTCACTTATCTCTTTGACCGCCAGGCCCCTGAAGTTGTAGTTGTTTCCTCAAGTAGACTATAATTACTGAGACCGGCTTCTTGATTTCCGAATGTTGTTTATCTGCTTCTTCCTTGCGATCTCTTGTCATCTGGTTAAGCGTCTCCTTTTTGCCAGTCATGTCTCCTTGTTTTTTTCCGAGTTTGATTAAGCAATAGACTAAGTTATCTCTAACTGCCCTCTTCCAATCTCCTGCTTATTGAATCTATTTCCGCAAGGATGTTGATAGCTTCTCTAATCTTCCGGTTTTAGGTGCCTTCATTGTATGAGGCTTTTCTTTACGTTGCCTTCCAATTGATCTCGTGTCCAGTCTGTGGAATGTGTTCCACTATTTCTGTTCTTTGGTTATCCATTTTCTTGCAGAGTTTCTAATGCTCCTTGATTGGTATGCTGATTTTTATCCCTGCTTCGCCAATATATTTCTGAGATGTATTCACCCAATTTCGTTTAAGGTGATGAAGGACTGGCAGAAGAATTTTCCCACAATGACATGAGTAGAACTGACCTTTCCATTGAATTTCACATAGCCTTGCTTTCCCAAAAGTTGTTCTCATCCAGAGTGGACTGCAATTTCGACCTCGCATCGGTCTTATCAACGACCCCAGCGAGAGTCAAACCGTGAAAGTGCAGAATGAGAGCCCGACACGTTAATCACTTTGCCACATTGCCACGAGTGCCTTTGGGTCACAGAGCAAATGTGAATTTCAAGGAAGGTCAGGCCTTTTGCCATATCATATTCTTTGGTCAGATTGTCGATGAAGCAAACGTATATTTGTTATAATAATCGACTACGCTACTTTATTTTTCGCATTTAGGTATTGTTTTGAGACTACCAGTAAATCAGTACCGTGATTTATGGGTACTAGTAGCTAGTATATCTTTATCTGTTATTCACTAGTTTCCTTCATCCCAGCTTTATCTCTGATTCCATATAGCTCTGTCGACTGCATACTTTTTTTCATGAATTCAACATTCTGCCCATCACAGTTTTATTTTGACTATTTACTTATCGCTTTTTTGCCTCTGTAATATGGATAATCAAAATCTGTTTATATCCTACGCATGTATGAATTTAGCCACTAGCCTCTAGGCCTTAACTATAAAACCGACAAAAAAGATTTTTCGTTTTATAAGAAGGTTTTTGCGACTACCAATAGATTATGTATATGAGGTATATTAATCCTCTTTCGTTTAAGGGGATAAGGGGACTGATAGTTGAATTTTCCCACAATGATTAGAGTAGAACTTACGTTTTAATTGAATTTCCCTTAGCCTTGCATTCCCAGAATCTATTCTGAACCAGGGTAGGCTGCAGCTTCGACCTCGTTTAGGTCTTATCAACATACCCAGCGGGAATCGGATCATGAAAAGGCAGCATGTAATCTCGCTACGTTATCCACTAAACCAAATAATCGCGAGTGTCCTTGAGTCCTAAGTAAGACGTAAATTTTGCGGAAGACAGGGCATTTTCTCATATAACATTCTGTGGTGATATTGTTAATAAAGCAAAGTTTTATTTAATATAACGGTCGACTACATTTATTTTATTTTATTTTATGAGTATGTTTTCGAGACTTTAAATGGGGTGTTTACATGCTGTTTCACAGAATATGGCGTTGTCTTTGACGTGTCAAGATTGTACGCTGTACTCTCATGTTTTTTGTCCCGCTGACGGTATTGATATGACCTAGGCGAGGTCGAAACTGCTGTCCATTCTCGATGAGAGGACCTTCTATCAAAAGCAAGGTTATGTGAAATTCAATGGGAACGCCATGTCTATTCATATCATTGAAGGAAAAATCAACTACCGTTCCCCCGGAATAGGACGAATACATCTCAAATTTATCTTCCTTTTGCAACTCCATAGTAAACTTAGTATTGACATATATTCTATTTCTTAGCCTAAGGAATCCATCCAAACTATCTTTATCGTGGGTTGATTTAGTTTTCGCACTTAGTCTTGTTGTCAGGGCGACAGTTGGGCGCAACTTGTCCAACGTGTTCTGCCATAGTAGTTATCATAATTCCCAGCGTCAATCGTGTGTTTGGTACATTCTGACGCTCGGAATTATGATAAATATAGCAGAGGACTTGGGACAAGGTGCCTCCGACTAAGTCACCTTGACAACAAGACCAAGTTGCGAAAACGAATTAAAACCACTTCTATACATCGACAGTAGATTGCGGCCATACTGAGGGCCACACCATTTTTGTCTTCATATCTTTGTCGTGCTTCCAAACAGCAAAGTAATCGTCCCTATAATGAACTAATAGCTTTGGAACTAGGAGTGCTTGCTTAAACATACGATCTTTTATTTGCGCCATGCAGTTATTAGCTAAAATAGAGGCTAGTAAAGATCTCA